AACCTGCTCCAGGGATCCCCAAAGTAGAACTCACGAAGGGGGGAGCAAAGGGGTGTAAGGGAGAGGGAAAAGGCTAGAAGGTTGGCAGGATGGTCCCTTCACTCGCCCTTTCTTACACAGACCAAACAAAAGGTCAGGGACTGAGAAACAGCAGCACAAAACTGGAGTTTGGGTCACACTCCGAGACCTTCCCCATCACGAGGCCCAGTTCTTGGAACATCAGTCTTCTCCATAGATTGGGGTGAGAAAACTTATTATCAAAAGTCCTGATCTGGGAGGCAGAAGGCCTGGGTTCCTCGCACTGTTCTACCCTGACCACCAAGTGTGACCTCAGCTAAGTGTCTGCCCCTTTCTGTGCCTTGGCACCCCCACCAGCCCACCCCAGGGCTGGACAGAGGCTCTCAGAGGGCCCTTGGGGAGGAGCACAGGCCAGCAGAGTTCTAGGAAGCCAGCCACGCTGCTCCCGCATGGTCCGAGGCAGATGCATACACAGCCCCGCAAGGTGAGGATAACCGCACCCACTCAGCCCTGGCGGAGGACGCATGAAGCGGTTGATGGAGAGCAGTGAGCACGGTGCCCAGCACAGAGCTGGTGCTCCACACTCCGTCAGAGATTGCAGTCCAAACTTCAAGAGCCAACCCAGGTGGCGGCAGGGCAGCCCTGCCGTGTGGACAGGGGAAGGCAACACACCCAAGGAAGGGGCCAACTCTGTTCTGTTCTAAAAGTCCAGGCGAGGGCCACGGACCCAAGTACGTGTGTGACGTCCATGAAAAAATGGGAGCAGCTGTGCCTGTTCAGGTTGCAGTGCATGAGACAGACGGACGGGTGTGTCGGAGGGATAGGTGTGTGCGCAAAGCCTTGCGCAGCAAAAGTGTGATTGCCTTGGCCGAAGCTGGGCGGTTTCCACTCAATTCCACAAAATCCTGCCACAACCTGCCTCCTGTGGACTGGGTGCTGGGGACAGAAGGACGAATGACACGGGAGTGCTGCTCCTGAGGAGCCCGGAGGTGGGGTGCTGCTGCAGCTGAGGTGCAGGAGAAAGACAGCTCCCAGTCAGACCCAGTCCTGTGCTGGGCTCCTCCAAGCGCACGGGGAGACTTCTCCTGAGCCTGTTTCCTTGCCTGAAAACGAGGAGGATAACCGCCCCGCCTCAGCCCTGTTGCAGGACCCAAGACTTCAAGAGCCAACCCAGGCGGCGGCAGGGAGCAGGGCAGGTCCTGGACAGGGAATCGGGAGCTTTCGGGTCTGGTCCTGTATCTGCCACCGACTTACTGTGCGACTGTGACCTCCAGAGCCTCAGTTTTCTCATAAGCATGTGAGGACCCACCTGGCAGGGATGCCTGAGGGCTGTGGGTACTTTGCTGGGATTATTTCCAACCCAGGTGACGTGCCTCTACAGATGGTCGGGAAGAGCTTTGGTGGGCCGGGATTAGGAGTCTGAGGGCCCAGGAGCAGCCACCACCTCCTCTCCTCCCCATTCCCACAGCTTTTGACCCCAGGGACAAGGCTGACGGAGGATGGGAGGATGTTTACAGAGCGTAAACCTTCACATAGAGAAAGTCTGCTGGGCCGCTGGGGGCTGGGAGCAGCAGAGTCTCACAGGGGCTCGGGGAAGATGGGGCATATGGGGCTGTGCTCCATCCAAGCCCCTTTCAGCCTCTAACTTCCAAAGGGAAGCCGCGGTGGCCCTTGACAGGGTGCGGCAAGGCGAGCATTCCTCCGACAGCGTGGAAAGCATCATGGGCAGCGATGTGCTATTGCTCAAAATTCAGAGAGAAGGAGGGCCTGGGAAGGGTTGAGGGCTTAAATCAGGGACTGGGGTACAGGGAGGAGGCAGGGGCTTGGTGACAGGACTAAGGGCCTACCGAGAGGAGGAAGAGCTCGGAGAGGGGCCAGCCATCCCTCATTCTAGACCTCACTACGGAGAAGACAGGAGTCAGCGGTTCCCACTTCCCCGAGCCGCAGCTGCTGGGAGCAGAGGTGGACTCGGGACTTGTCCTCTGGGCAATCTCCCACACCTCGGTGCCAGAAAAGCTGCAGGTCTGTGGGGCCCAGTGGGACCTGGCCAGCAGGTGTGAGGGAGGTGTCTCCTGGGGTGAATGGACCCAGCTCATCCCAACTCCCTCCTTCCTCTGCTCTTCTCTTCCAGGCTTTTCTGTTGGGCCCCTCCTACAGGGCCAGAGGCTCTGGAAGGGGGTCAGCTAGCTGTGACCACCGGACTCCTCTCACTTGGGCTGCCTCTGAGGGTCACCGGGGAAGGGGGAAGGATTTGACCAAAACTGTCCCCGTAGGGCTAAACGTTCAACAGCAGGAAGCACTTCCTGCTCACCCAAGACCCAGCCATGAGTGACTGAGAAACCCCCCCTCTGAAGCTCTTGAAGAACACCCATCCCTCAGGCTCCAACAGGCTCTTTCCCACCCATTACCTCGTCCAAGAGGGAGGCCACAAGGCTGGGGTTGCCACCTGCTTTGATGGCCTAGAGCAGTGGTCGGCAAACTCATTAGTCAACAGAGCCAAATATCAACAGTACACGATTGAAATTTCCTTTGAGAGCCAAATTTTTTAAACTTAAACTATATAGGTAGGTACATTGTTATTAACTTAATTAGGGTACTCCTAAGGCTTAGGAAGAGCCACACTCAAGGGGCCAAAGAGCCGCCATGTGGCTCACGAGCCGCAGTTTGCCGACCACGGGCCTAGAGTTCTAAAGCTCAGAGAGGCCCAGTGATCAACCCAAGATCACACAGCATGCAAGAGGTGGGGCTGCTGACCCCCCAACTCCTTTGATCTCTAAGGCAGGTGACCAACTCCCTGAGATCTCAGCGCATTTCCTCCCCTAGAACTCCTAAGAGATGCCTCAGCTCTGGGCTCCTGGAGACAAGTGGTCAGAACAAGCATGCCCCTGGCCAGGGCATTCCTGGCATCCAGTAAGGCAGGATGTGGGGCAAAGGTACCAGCGGATTTAGCTCCTAGAGAGGAAGGAGAAGCCCTTCCAGAGGAGGTGAAGACAGTGGCTGGCTGGGGGACATGAGGCGCTTCCTTCGCCTTCAGTGCCCTTGTGAGGGCTGAGAGACAAGGCCTGGTGACTAAGGACCCCACCTCAGTCCCTATTGGCCTCCCCAGGCCCAGCCATGGCTTGGAAAATGTCATCTCCCAAGAGGAGCCTGCGGAGGGTGCACTCTCTGTGGAGTACCTCACCTTTCTTGGGCATCCCAGGCTGCATTGTGGGCAAGGGCACCAGAATGCAGCCACTCTTACTAGCAGTCCCTGCCCTCACCCCCAACCCCACCATCTCTCGTATCCCAGCACAGAACCTCCATCACTCCAACAGCTCTCTCGGCAGCAAAGATATTCATCCGAGGCCTCCCAGTGGGCACTGGGAGTCAGGCTACTCCTGACCCTGACCCTGACCCTGACCCTGACCCTGAGTCTAACCTCAGGTCCTCTGCAATCTTAACTCCCTGCCCCGGGCCTAGCCTAGCAGGGTCGCTGCACGAAGCCAAGGCTGCCACCCCCAGAGCTTACTGGCTGAGGGTCAGCTTCCTCTCCCCTCCCTGCGGACAGGGGATCCATTGCCAGCATTTCTCCCCTCCACCTTTGAAATTCTGTGAGCCCGGTTAGGACTGCGCAGAGGCAGGCAAGCACGGACAGGAAGGAAGACAGACCAAAAAATGATGGAAACGGACAAGTAGAAGAATGAGATAATCAGGTGGACAGGCAGATGGACAGGTGGGCAGACAGGCACACAGATAACTGGACAGGTCAACAGAGGGATGGAAACAGAGGAGGAGAAGGACTGCCGCACAGTTAGGTGGAGAGATGAAGGACAGGCCAGTTCGCACACAGGTGGAAACTCAGGCTGGCAGAGGGAAGCCAGGCAGGCAGAACTGTCAGAAGTCAGGAGGACAGGCAAGGAGACCCCTCAGGAGACCCCAGGACCAAAGGGTGCTCTCTGGGGCAGTAAGAAGGGATTAACAGCTGCACATTTTCCAGGAACCGGAGGTCTCTCTCCGGCACCTCCCAGCGTCCCAGAGCCAGGCCCGGCCCTTCAACTGATATCGGTGGGGCCTCTCATGTTCCCGGCCAGCCAGGCCGTCCCCCAAGACTGAGCTCTGAGCTGCCAAAATTCACTCTTTACATCCAAGAGGGGTCAGTGTTTTTGAAAGTTGTAGGAGCTGGTGAAGGGGGAGGAGGGAGGCACGGCGTCAGTGTTTCCAAACCTACCCCTCTCCTCTTTCTTTTTCCCCTGGGGTGCCCAGAGCCAGGCCTGGTGCAGCGGCCAGTGAGCTGGGCAGGCTGGCCAGCCAGGCCGCAGGCAGACAGGGCAGCCTGCTGCTGCTGCTGCTGGGAAGTTGAGGGTGGTGGGGAGACTGAGTGAAGACTCAGATAAGTCAGACAGCACACATGAATGTCAGGGCTGGGGTGCTCACCGGGACCCCCAAAACACCTATAATGGGGAGCCTGCCCTGGGATAGGGTGGACACCTTCTCTGGAGAGGGGCATCTCCAAGGGGAGCCCAGGTGGGAGTCCACTGTAGTGACAGAGCTGGGGAGAAGGTGACAGAAGTGTGTGGGGGCCAAAGGGCCCTCTTTGTGTCTGGGACGTGGAGACAGAGGTGAGGACGAGGAAAGGGGAGCCCCACTGTAGTGGCTCCAGATTGCAGAGAGGATGACGGACAAGAAACTGCATGTGGGAGGACCGGGGACAGAGGAGCAGGGGGTGGAGGTCAAGATGGAAATAAGGAGTTGCGGTGGGGGAGGTCAGAAGAGAGTGAAGTCGGGATCAAGGCTTGGAGATTGGGGGTTAGGGTCAGGCTGGGGGGATCAGTCATGGAGCTCAGGCCTGGGGGACGGGGTGAAAATGAGGGTCGGCCGTGGGGGTGGGGGACAGAAGGCGGAGCCAGGGTCTGGCGGCGGACCCAGGGGAGTCCAGGCTCCCGCAGGCGCCGGGCGGAGCAAGAGCGCGGGGTAAGGCCAGGGGCGCGGGTCGGAAAACTCACATGAAGACGTGGTAGACGAAGGCCCAGCCGCGGGGTCGCTCCAGCACGTTGTAGACCCAGTTCTGCAGGCGGCGGTAGCGCTTCTGAGAGGCCGAGG